TCCTTAATGCTAACATGTTTGGGACACAAATTTTCTGAGTAAGTTTGTAGTGATTCAGAAAGAACAATTTCTACAGGTTTAATATATAAGTCGTGTTTTTCTAAATATTTAAATATCATATGTTCTGATCTGAACAACTTAAATTTACTTTGAACATACGAAAAACTTGAAGAGATGTATTCTGATTCATTATTTTTGATATTGCATGGATCAAAATTTGCTTTTAAAATATGTTCTATCTCTGAAAGTAAATCTCTAACACTAGAGATTATATTTTGCACTTCTGAACGGGGCACTGTGTTACTTTTATATAAGTGAGAAATAAAAAGCGCAATACTACTCTCAATTTGATTTTCCTTATTTGCAATTCTGTCATTATATAATCTGTTACTAAAAGGTTCACAATTATCAGAAATTGTTGTTTTTGAAACAACACTATTGGGAGCTGTATGGAATAAAGGTAGTGTAAAATTTGTATCTTGACTACTACACTGACCTGTAACGTTGTTAGACAACCACTGAGTATTCAGAAAGTTTTTTCTGTGAAAATTCGAAAGATGTTTGTAAAAAGAGTTGTATGAACTAAATTCTCTTTGACACGAATACGAAATGCAGCGAATATATAGGAATGTCTATATTTCATATGCAATAATAAATTTTTTTTTGAACTTGAAAATTTGTGACAACAATTCATTATTTTTAAATATTACTTCTCACTCTCAGATTCATTACACAAATCAGAAATCAGTGCTGGGAATGGGTTCTTGTGTCTCTTTGTAAACTAAAATTATGTACATAAAAACATGTTTTCACTTAAAACCATACATTACCTGAAGTATCACTAGGAGCATCATTTGTCTTAACTACTATTGTTTCTAAGCAGTTATTATCTGTTATTACATTTTCTTCGTCAATTCTATTGTACAACTGTCTAAAACCTTCTTTAAATTTAATTCTGTCCCCATATTTTCCAATCAGTTCTTTGAAATCTTGTGAATCTGTGTTAATTTTTGAGAATGTATCATCATCTATCGCTTCTTCTGAAAAATAATATTACAACATTTAAAAATGATGTTAATACAATTTACAGTTATTTATTCGTTGTTACAGTTATGGAAACGAACAATTTATATTGTACATACTTATGTATGCATTTTGGCAAACCACATTTTAAATTACTTTTAAAAGGAAAAGATACTACCCGATTTTGCTTTAATTCTCCAAAATTTTAAAGAAAAAGGTTGGTGAAGATCACAAAAAAATACAGTGTTAGTATCAAAAGTGTGTGGCTATGTAAGGTACCTAAGCCAAATATTGCCATCTTAAGGTTTAAAATTTGTTGGCAAATTAAATTTTGAAACCTGAAAGCTATATATAAACGATTGTTACGTGAATACGAGTTGCCCATTATAAAGATAACTTAAAGCCGTATATGATTCAATTGTTTAGAATTTAGGCGATTTTTAGGCCTGACAATATGAGGATATGGCAATATATGGCTCAGACACCGTATAATACCGTTAAAAAAACTAAGACCAAATTTGATTTTATAACTTTTTCAGAAATCAGTCCGTTTGTGCCAGGAAATGTATCAAATGTATCATAAAACAGTATTATGGGTTTTACCTAGTACGAACTGAATTGAATAAAAGATTAATCACAAATTTTTTGGCCATAGCATCATTCCATTCATATTTTTTAGTTTTGCTTATAGGGAGTGTCTCAAAAAAATTAATCACTGAGTCAGTTTATTTTATTGATTGAATTAAGAATTGCAAAACTGAATTTTGAAATATTGCAGAGGTTTTGAAGTTACTGTTTGACATGGTAGGTTTTCAATCAAAATATATCTGTTTATCAAGCCCAAAAACTCGAAGACGTCATCTCAAGATGTTGCCGAATAAATCCTATCTAAAATGTGGAAAATATCATCAGTATATTTTCGTAATTTATCATTGCATTCATATTTTTTGGATTTGCTTTTACAGTGACTCAAAAAAATATTTGGATCAGTCAATTTATTTTAGTGAATAAGTAGTCATTTTTATTAATCTCACTTGAAAGTAAAAAAAGTAAATGTTGCGTTTTGTCTTTATTGGCTAACAATTTGTTCGCTGAGAACCAATTACTTATTTGTGTTTCGGCTTCACTTGACATTTCATTTAATCTGTTAATATCTTTCCCAGAAATTAAAACTGAAGCATCATCTGCAAATAAAACAAATTTACCGTCTAAAGTTAGATTTGATATATCATTAATGTAAACCAAAAATAAAAATGGCCCAAGCACTGACCCCTGCGGCACTCCTGCAACTAATTTTTGCTTAGATGATGCTGAATTATTGAAATATACATATTGTTGTCTATCAGTCAAATAAGATTTGATCAATTTTAAGCTGTTTTCAAAACGAAGATAATATTTTAACTTGTATAATAATATATCATGACAAACAGTGTCAAATGCTTTTTGCAAATCAAATACACTTAATAAAGAATTTTGTTTTTGTTCAAAAGCCCTTAGTATCTCCGAGCATAACGAATTTGTAGCTAGAGTTGTTGATCTCTTATTACGGAAACCAAATTGTGAATAATTGAAGAGTGATAAACTTTCAAAGAATTCGCTTAACTGATTTTTCAATATCGTTTCAAATATTTTACCAAATATTGGAACCAATGAGATAATTTTTTGTGGAATTAATATCCCCTTGTTTTTTAATAATCGGTACTACTTTAGTTACGTTTAGTTGTATTGGGAATGTATGCTCTTGTATACAATGGTTTCTTACCTTTGGCATTGGAATAACAATTAGATTTAAAATTGTTTTTAACATTAAAATGCATATATTATCAGTATCTTTACTTTTAGAATTTTTCATTTTTGAAACTATATCACGGACTTCATTAAAAGTGACATCCTTAAAAGTGAAACTTACATCGTAATCTGAAGTTAAGTACGATCGGAAATCTTGTCCAAGCGTTTAATTCTCTGCAAATTTGAACTCAAATTTATGAAGTAATTGTTAAAATCTTCACATGAGATAATGTTTGTACTTTCAATACTCTTTATTTTGCTTTCAGAATCTATAATCTGCCACATTGCTTTTTGCTTATTCAAAGAATTATTAATACAATTGTCATTGTAAGATTTTTTTGCTTTAGCCCATTCTTTTGCGTATACTTTTTTATGATGTTTAAGATAAGCTGCACTGATTTGATTTTGGTTAGCAAGTTCACAATAAAATTTAACCTTTTCGCTCATCACCCTAAATCGTTCCGTAAACCAACTCCCTTTTATTTTTGTTATGTTCGTGGTTCTAAATGTTTTTAAAGGGAAACAAATTTCTACGGCATTTACAATTTTTTTGTAAAAAGTCAGACTTCTCTTGGCAATTTAAAGTATTATTATCTACAAAGTCCCAATTTACTTGTTCCATATGATTATAAAATTTAAATAAACCTAATTGTGTTACAGGACGATGTGTTATTTCCCTTTTTACTGTATTTATTTTGGAAGTCATAAAACTAATACAAACACCAGCATGATCAGATAGTCCAGGGTTGTAAGCGGTTGCTAAATATTTATCTGCGGACAAGTTTGTGAAGATATTGTCCAGACAGTTTTTGCCTCTAGTTGGGGAAGTAATAAGTTCTTTTAAATCAAACGACCTTAAAGTAAGTATTAAAGTCACCAGAAATAATAATTAGTTCATTTTTTTTACACATTTCAGTTAATAATAATTCTAATTGTAGGAAGAATATGTCGAAACTACCCTTAGTGGATCTGTAGAGAGAAATTATGTTAAAATTTCTAAATTTAATAGCTGCAAATTCAGCATGAATTTCTTTGCAATATCTTTCGACTTTTAAAGTTTTACATAAAGGTAAAACAGAGTTATGGACAAATATACTTACCCCACCATGTATATGTTCGCGTCGACAATAATGTGACAATAACGTATAGTTTTCAAATAAACGGACACCTAACTGATCCTCTTGTAACCAGTGCTCATTGATGCACAGAATATCAAGCGGTTGATCAGTCTGTAGAAATGTATTCGTTTGAAGAATTTTGTTGCTAAGGCTTTGAATGTTTAGCTGAAAAAGATTTATAACAGAATCATTTGAATTAGACAATGTAAAATTATTTTTCCTCTTTTCTAAATTTAATGGCTTAGTTAACCTGATTTCAGAGACCTAAACACTATTGGCAAATGATATCTGAATATTTGAATTTACGTTATACTCATTGTTGCGCTTGAAGTTTGGTGAGCAGTAGCTGTCTCCTTCTTTAAAAAATAAAACTTTTTGACGATTATTCCACTTGACCATAGATCTTCTTTGAGACACTCATTAAAAATTTCTTGGTCCAATGTCACCTTAAATGAGATACTTTTGGCATTATCTCGTTTGGATAACGCTTCAATTAAAAATTCTCTATTTGGAAACTTTGATTTTAGAAAATTGGTAAAATCTTTTTCTTCAGTGTCAAGCATTAAATTTCCTACGTAAACGTAAACTTTCCGCTGAACACCTCTCAAGCCTGAGTTTGGGGTTGCCTCCGCTTTTCCCCGAATAAATTTCCGTTTGTTTTTCTTGGAAATTACAGTTTGAAAGTCATCCTGTGGCTTTTCGTTTAATGAAGATAACGAATATGTTTTACCTGGATCATCTTTTTTAGTGGGTTTGGGTATATGCTCTTCTCTTTTGGATGTCTGTTTTTCTTTGTTTAACACCAACGAAAATGAAGTTGGAAATGATGTACTCGAATCATGAATCGTGGTAATTTTTTCTGAGGTCTTATTTCCTACTTCTTGCTCATTATATTGGGAAGATATGGGCACTATTTTTTCCGAAGCGTTAGAATAATTTATCATCAATCCTTGAAGTTCATGAAACTGTAGAAATAGCGAATACGTATGTAATTAATTTTTGAAGATATAATTCCTACGCTTTTTTTTTAATGGGTAGTCAAGATTACGAGGATGACGTGGAAGACTTTTGTTGTTGGTTAAGGTATAATATAGAACCTTGGCCAGAAGTTTTGGCTAAATGGAAGACCACTACATGTGTAAGAATTCCCCGCTATAACCAGAATACAACCACAACCATCCAAGAATATTTTCAAGAATATAAAATTTTAGAAAAGTCCTTAGGTTATCAATTAGTAAGTAATATAACAATATATTATGTAAGTTCACATTTTTATAGGTGGTATTTTTTTTTAGCTGGAAATTGATTTCAATTATCTTTATCCCAAAAAATCAGAAATATTTTTTGCCGAAATACATAAAAAAAAATATATTATATTACGATTGGCCCAATACCGAGGCGTACTGACTCAACATTTTCCGGATCAAAACATAAATATTTTGAATGGTAAAACCAATTGATTTATTTCTTTGTAATTTCAGTTAATAATAATTTTCTGCTTAGACGCCACTGCTGTTCTAAGTTTATTAACACTACCGTGTCTAATGCCAGTAGTGATTGTTACGACAAATAAAAAGAAATGGAAACCGTCTAAAGTTGAAATAGCGAACCGTTTCATTATTTACGTGAAAACCAGTGAAGAGATGCAATTGATGTTGGAACGAAGACAGCGAAAATATGCGGAAACCAAACAATTATGTCAACCTCTAATAAAAATTGTTGGACCAGATTTGAACAACCTCAAGGACTATATTTCCATCGATAACTGTACATATCCTTTTGAATCGGCCTTGAAAAGTGTAAACACTTGTTTTAAAATAATTCATGCAATTGTTGCAGAATATCCACCTCAATGTTCTCATGTTTGGCAGTTAATACAAATTTACCTCTATGATTTAAAGACAGAGTGGGACAAAAAGTCTTCAATTGTTTCTGCTCCGATTTCTGATTTGTGTAATGAATCTGAGAGTGAGAAGTAATATTTAAAAATAATTAATTGTTGTCACAAATTTTCAAGTTCAAAAAAAAATTTATTATTGCATATGAAATATAGACATTCCTATGATGGTAAATATATTCGCTACATTTCGTATTCGTGTTAAAGAGAATTTAGTTCATACAACTCTTTTTACAAACATCTTTCGAATTTTCACAGAAAAAACTTTCTGAATACTCAGTGGCTGTCTAACAACGTTACAGGTCAGTGTAGTAGTCAAGATACAAATTTTACACTACCTTTATTCCATACAGCTCCCAATAGTGTTGTTTCAAAAACAACACAGTTTCTGATAATTGTGAACCTTTTAGTAACATATTATATAATGACATAATTGCAAATAAGGAAAATCAAATTGAGAGTAGTATTGCGCTTTTTATTTCTCACTTATATAAAAGTAACTCAGTGCCCCGTTCAGAAGTGCAAAATATAATCTCTAGTGTTAGAGATTTACTTTCAGAGATAGAACATATTTTAAAAGCAACTTTTGATCCATGCAATATCAAAAATAATGAATTAGAATACATTTCCTCAAGTTTTTCGTATGTTCAAAGTAAATTTAAGTTGTTCAGATCAGAACATATGATATTTAAATATTTAGAAAAACACGACTTATATATTAAACCTGTAGAAATTGTTCTTTCTGAATCACTAAAAAACTCAGAAAATTTGTGTCCCAAACATGTTAGCATTAAGGAGACAACTGTTTTCATTCCTTTACGGAAGGTTTTAAAACGCGTGTTTGAACTTGCTAATGTTTTAAGTGCAACTTTAGATTATATAAAATCTCTGGATTCTACGAGTCTCTTTGAGAATTTTGTTCAGTGTAATTTATGGCAAGACATCCGTAAATCATTCTCTGGGAAATTAGTTATTCCCTTATTTTGATATTTTGACGATTTTGAATCAGGAAATGTTTTAGGATCACATTCTGGTGTGAACAAATTAGGTGTAGTTTACATCTCGGTGCCATGCTTTCCAAAACAATTTCAGTCTCTTTTGGAAAACATATTTTTTGTTCAGTTGTTTCGATCTAGTGCTCGTAAAGACATAGGAAATAACATATTTCAGGTTGTGATAGATGAATTGAAATATTTAGAAAGCGTAGGAATTGCAATTAATGTAGACGGTATCAATTACCATTTATAGTTTTCTTTGGGATTAATAATTGGCGACAACCTTGGATTAAATTCAATATTAGGTTTCGTTGAAAGTTTTACAGCTAATCGTTGTTGTCGAATTTGTAAAGTAGATAGAGCTAAGATGAAATCTCAGCTGACCGAAGATTCGAACTTATTTCGTAATATTAAAAATTATTCTGCTGATACATCCAGTTGCGACAGTAGCTCATCTGGCATTAAAAGTCCATCCGTTTGGAACCAGTTGCGAAATTTTCACGCAATGAGGAATTTTTCAGTATATATAATGCATGATCTCCTAGAAGGGGTTTGTAAATATGACCTAAAAATAATTTTGAAAAATTATATATATGAAGTAAAATTATTTTCTCTTGAAGCCTTAAATCAAATGATTTTGGCATTTAATCATAAAGCTCATTGCAATTTACCTATTATTAAGGAGGAGCATTTAAAGAATGGCAACATAAGATTATCAGCTTCGGAAACCTTATATTTCGTGACTCTCTTTGGAATCATGGTTGGTCATTTGGTCCCTTCTAATAATATTTATTGGCGATTATATTTATCTCTTCGGAGTATTTTAGATATTGTTTTATCTTCAAAATTTCACACTTTTATTAAACAACCTTATTTCAGAACATCACCAAATCTTATGTTCATTAGGGTACAGTTTAAAACCAAAGCATCACAACATGATTCACTATCCTTTAATTACGCAAATGTCTGGTCCCTTAATAAATCTTTGGTCAATGAGATTCGAATCAAAGCATAGAACTCTAAAAAATATATCTAATATTTCTTACTCAAAAAAAATATTTGCTTAACAATTGCAATCCGACACCAACTAAAACTATGTAACAAATTGATATCTAAGGATGGATTTTCCCGATTTATTGAAAAATCTACAATTACAGAATATAACAAAAAAAGGACTTATTTATAAATGGATAAAAGTTTATGACAAACTAATAAAACACGGGACTATTTTAATAGTGTATCTCACAGAATCACATCCAGTTTTTGGCAGTGTATGCTCTATTGCTGAAACTGAAGTTGGTATTATAAAGATGACGTTCCAGTTATTTGAAACTTTAGGTTATGATCAGCATTTACATGCATATTATGTTAAATTACAAAATGACATTAAAACAGAGGAACTTCAGGAGATTGATAAGTTACACGTCAATTGTTTATACCATATGTCACACGATGGAAATAGTTTAATTAATATAAATAGTTCGGTCTAAACAGACATAACAACTGAAATGCATATATTCATCATATATATATATTATGTAATAGGCTAATAAATATGTTTCTATAATGTTAAGAAGTATTGTTTAATTTTCTTTATATGTTTATGTTTATATTTTCATTTTATATTCAATATACCTATGCTTTCAATAAAATACGAGTTTTTGTAATTCCTTCCAAAAGTGCTAATCAATTAATTAATTAATTACTTAATGGTGCTGCAGTAACAACCATAAAATATCGTTCATGATATCATTTATTACAGTTGAAATACATAATTTTTTGTTACGACAATTATTAAATTTTGTTTAATAAGACCGTAGAATATGGTTTCAACAAGTACATTTTTGGCTTTTATAACCACAGTTTTCTGGTTAACAGATTTACAATATTTTAAAGTTCTTGTAACCATTTATTTTTTAGTGTGCAAGTTGACTGTTCCAATCTTCTCAGCAAGCTCTATATCTATTGTCCAAGACTTTCTTCTCGTGACCACCGTTGTTTCTATCTGCCTACACCGCGTATAGATGTCGAAAAGTACTCGCCTATTTATCAAATGACCAATAATTGTAATCTGAGTCAAAATGATTTTGATATTTTTGTTAATGTTCCCTATGGGATAAAGTAGTAATTTTAGCTACTGATTACCTATTATACATTTATTCGCATTTCTTTTGTAAGTCTGTAATTGGGTCTTGCATCCGTTGACTTACGTATATATAATAATAATAATAATAATTTGTGTTGTTGCAGTTTATATAAAATTTTAAACGCCGCTTCATATACTCCAATTTGCCAATTAAAAACACGAATTCTTGTTAAACAAACTGACAGCTACATCACGTACTTTAATGAAAACCGTGGAAACATAGTCGTTTGCATCTGCAAATAAAGTTTACATCTATAATGCAGTGACGGCTGGAACACATAACACAATAGCACTATATTACATTTCGTGTTGTTTGCATTTTTTGTATATTTGTCAGTAATTGACGCTTATGGATTATTTAAAACTACTGTCCGACACAATACTCCCCACACAAAAGTAAAAACTACATCTCTAACCGGTCCAGGAAGCCCCGATTGTTAACCTATAGGCAGTTAATAATTTCCGTAAGTGTTCCTTCCCTAATATTTCCATACCTTTTCGGAAACACGCTGCTCCCTTTTCAAACAAAGACACTTATTTACATTTCCTCTCGTGTCTTTTTTATTTGATCACTTCTCCAAGTTTACCATTCCGATCCTTCCATCATTTTTAAACCTCCTCGCAAATATATTTTTCATCTGAACCGTTCCATTCCATTCAGTTTACCTTTCATAAAAAGTAAGTAGTTGTAGTATTTGCGAGCTCCTTGCAAATTCCAAATAAAAATCGTCGATCCAACCAACCCTCTTATAAAACTGCTTCCTGTACGTGACACCACGTCTCGCCCAATAGAGGTAGCCTTGTACTTTAGTTGCAAATACGTTCTGTGAAGCCCCAAGTATGAATGATGATGTGCTGGATATTGATAGATCAAAGCTCGTACACTCCTCAGTCCGAAGTTTGCTGCCGATTCCGGACACGTAGCTTGTTCCATTCTCCGGAGGCTGTTGTTCCGGGTGCGCGTATGTGTGATACGGGGTTATAAAAGCCGAAAATATAGAAGACAGGAAATATCAAACACTAATCCAGAGTAACAGGCTTTTATTGTATCCGTTCCATTTTAGAGAAGAGGGCTGGGCTAACGCGTCCTGACAAAATACTCAAGTGTTGGATGTTTGTGTTTAATTATTCTAAGAGAAATGGAGAGGTTTTTTTTAAAAATGTTGATTCGAGAGAGGCGAGCAACTTCGGGAGTTTAAATTAAGGAGATTCCGATTTTTTCGCCTCATAAATTAATATAAACACGGCGGCGGCGGCGGTGCTTCGATTAAGTGGATTTTCGCAATGTGGGCTTTTTCTGCGAGTTTTAAATTTAATTCGATAGCGACGGGAAAATGTACAAGAGCGGATACAAAAAATATAAGTACACAACCGTGAAATCGACAAAACAGGACTGGACAGAGGGAAACTGTAAGTAAAGGCGATAGTTTTTGTTGCATGTCTGACCGAGGAATGGTTAGAAGGAGCAATTCAGGCGCGACGCACAAAAACATTTTTGTTAAGAATAGCACACTCTATTTTGTTTTTTCTGTTTGGAAAGTACAAAAGCAACCAATTTTAAAAATAATTCAATGTCACAGAGGACATTATCTTATGTATCGAGAATTAAATCTCAAACATTTTCAAAGTAAAATTGCAAAATACACACAATTTTAATTTTTTATTCATAAAGTACAATTGTAGGAATAAGTAGTTATGTAGTGGGGCTCCTAGGCCAGGTCAAATGAGATCCAACTAACCCCACTACATTTTATCCAACGTTTGTCATCACCTTGTGCTCAGTCGACTTAACCCCGACGTCGGACACGATCATGTTTTCCCCAGACTCGAGTTCTATACCTACCATCATCTCATCCTGTATAGTAATAAGAAAGTACAATTATATATATAAGACAATTTAGTTAGTGTAGTCATGTTGGCCGAGCGGTTTAATGCGTCAAATTTAAGCTCTGATGCTCGAAAGAGAGCGTGGGTTCGAATCCCACACCTGACAGTTCTTGTTTTCATCGATTTATAAATTATATATTAAATCAAACAGTTAAGTGTAGGCAGGTTGGCCGAATGATTTCAAAAACTTAATTTCAAGATCCTTTTACATTCTTTAAAATGAAACCATAAGTGCTTCAAAGATTCTTTTATATTCTTGGAAAAAAAACACTTGCCCTCTACCTTGACACTCTAAATTAAAAAAAATAGAAGGCTCTCTAAGGTGTGTTCAAAATTCTTTCAAAAACATAACGCCGAGATTCTTTCAAATTGCAAGTAAAACATTAGGAGTCCCCGAGATTTTTTCATATTTAAAAAAAAAATAAAGCACCAAGAGCTTAAGATCCTAATAGCTTCTAAGATACACATTCATAACGCCAAGGTTCTTCTACATTTTTAAAAACGGGGGTGTCGAGATTCTTTTAAATTATGTAAAAAATAAAACCTCAGGGCTCCTTGATTTTTTTTTTTTTAATTCTTTAAAAAATAAGGCATCGAAAGTTCCTATGAGTCTTCCACATTCTTGAAAAAAAGACAATTGGATCCCACTTTTTACTTTGTTTTAAATCTTGGATCCTAAAACTTGTCAAAATAAGTCAGTGAAATAGAGAAAAGAGGTGGGGGGGGCTGAAATTAGTTTTTTTCTAAGGAGTCTTATAAGCAAGCAGTAGCCCCGCCCATCTACCCCTTCTTCATTTCAATGACTACTCATAACATTGTTCAGTCTTATCTTAGCAAGTACTAGCCCCGCCCACCCACCCTCTATTTTCTTACAGAATTTTTTGCCAAGATTAGTCTTGTCTTATCAAATACTAGGCCCCCCCACCCGCCCTCTATTTTTCTAGAGGCTTTGTGATTTGCCAAAAACAGTTTTATCTTAGCAAGTACTAGCCCCATACACCCACCCTTTATTTTTTTACAGAACATCTCATTTGCCAAGATTAGTCTTGTCTTATCAAATCCTAGACAATTTAGTTAGTGTAGTCATGTTGGCCGAGCGGTTTAATGCGTTAGATTTCAGCTCTGATCCTCTAAACGGAGCGTGAGTTCAAATCCCACACCTGACAATTTTTTTACTTCCACTCCACGCTATTCAATCAAAATTTCTTTTATAGATCCTTGAAAACATCATTAAATTTCTACATAAGATGGTGCTTTCGTCCAATTTTTTAATCATTGGCTGCATTTTCTTTATCAATATAGGTTTCCATCAATAACACGATACTTAAACATAATTCTAACCTCCTGCCATTTTAAGTATTTTATTGCTAACAGAAAACTACGTATATTACGAAAAAAAAGTCAATGGATAAACCCCACTCACCCACCCCATTTAAACTGTGATTAATTTTTTTATTCGCTGTGAGACGGAGGTGGAGCTTAGCTGCAAAGTATACATTTCCCTCCAAAAAATTACCAAGTAAAAGATGTTTTAACTATCGTGTTGAAAGAAAATTATAGATATCTATTTAGAAAACGCAACGGAAAATTATGCCCCACCCACCCGCCCGATCTCAATTGTGATAAATTTTTTATTCGTTGTGACACCGGGTGGGCGGAGTCTAACTGCAAAGTCTATATTTCTGTACAAGAAAATATGGAGTGAAACGTGTTTGAAGTATTGCTGTACTCTTTTGAGAAAAAATAGCGAATGACGTCCAAATTTGAAAAAAAAAGCATCATCTCATCATATAGAGTAATAGGAAAGCACACTTTTATAAATAAGAGGATTTACTGTAGTCAGGTTGACCGAGCGGTCTATGGCGTCAGATTTAAGCTCTGATGCTCGAAAGAGAGCGTGGGTTCGAATCCCTCACTTGCCAGTTTTTGTTTTTATCAATTATACTAAATAAAACAGTTAAGTATAGTCAGGTTGACCGAGCGGTCTAAGGCATCAGCTTCAATAATATATGATTGTCTAAATAAAGCGTGGGTTAGAATCCCACACCTGATAGTTATTGTTTTTATCGATTTATAAATTATATACTAAATAAAACAGATTCAATGGCATTCGTGCTAGCGTGTTGACCAGTTCATTTAAGCTTATATTTCCCTCTGTTATTGTTTGCGATTAAAAAAAAATAATTTAAAAAGCCACCCCATTCTGAAGTGTGAATGTTACGCTATTGATTGACCGTCCGTTGTCAGATTCTGATGACTCACCATGTTGAACTTAAAATTATCCATCTCTAGTCAGGTTGGCCGAGCTGTCTAAGGCGTCAGCGTCAAAATCTGACCCTCTAAAGGAAACGTGGGTTCGAATCCCACACCTGACAGTTTTTTTTGCCTGCGTTTTGCTCAGATCAGCACGAATAATTCAAATTATGGGTTTCGCAATACTGTATTTCCGTTAGACAAATGCAAATCAGCAAGTTTTTTTGCGTTTAAATAAAACACATTTTAATGTTATGTTATTTATTGACGAAATATGGAATACAGTCAGTTGTAAATATCTTTAGCATTATTTAATGAACAGAAATCACATGCTGGGATTTCTTTGATCAGTTCTTCTTCTAGTGCTTCTGGATTTACAATTTTGGGACAGTCTTTTCCTAGCAGTTGCGGGGATTACCTGCCTAACAAATGTCGGTACAGGCGGTGGACAGACCGACAGAGAAAGAGACGGAACCGGGATACCTACTTTTTCGTATTCTATAGGTTATAACAAGTTAAGGACACATGAACTTCGCCATTCTTCAGACACCACTTACCTTGCCCTTGAGGTATAATCCGACAAATCCTCCTTCTTTAAAAACTTATAAAAGCAGCCCGTGTGAACGCAAATTCTAAGGGGACGCGGTCCTTTGGAAAATATATTTAAAGCAGATAACCAACGGGAGAAAATGTTGTCTCAGCAATAATAACATGCTTAATTTCAAGTGTTTATATTTATACATCGAACGAATATCACGTAGGAATCTGATCAGTTTCAGAATCCGTTTTATTCGTGGTTTATACCTATGATCCAGAATTTCAAGAAAATATGTAGTTCGGATTTTCGATTTACCACAAAATGAAACGACGATAAACAAAAATGAAAAATCATCTACAATCAGAGTAACCACTGTCAAACTAAACTTGTCAATTAAAAGTCACAATTAACATTCGTGCACCTCAAATTCAAAGTGTTTCAAACCCCACAATGAAGAAACAAAAAAGCACAGCGTTTGATCCTCAGAGCAAAACAATCATGTACCCAGATTACAAAAAAGAGTCTCAAAGCGTCCAACAACTAGCTGAAAATGTAAGCCAAAGTGTCACCAAACCTTAATAAACAGTTTTTAGTTTGAGGATCAAAGCAGGAGATCCGTGGCCAAAGTAAAAAGCGCTTTGGTGAAGCAAACCGAAGAATATTTCACTTGCAAGTACAACTTTCGTGAAGTCGTTGTCTTAAATCGTGATATTTTTAGATTTAAACTGTGACTGTACTCCCGATTTTTACAATAGGGTGTTGGGGCCGACAGCAGACGAGGCTTTTCTTCAAGGGTTACAGACAATTTTCGATGTTTGCAGTAAGTTCATGTACTGCCACAAGGAGCCGGTAAGTGTTGGAAGATCCACAATTAATTATTAGTACCTAAATATTTATAGGAGATACAGGTTCAGGCAAGTACCTGGAACGTCTATTAACTAATTGAGAATGTTCACTTGACAATTTTCAGCCACCGTCATCTGCTAAATCAGTCCCACAGGTGATATCGGAAGTATTGGCATCTATAGGGATTCCGCCTGAGGTAAGCTACCATAAAATAACAACCACGTAATAAGTGAAAAAAATTTCAGGTGGTTAATGAAATTGTGCAAACATCTTTCGCCGCAGTGAGTATTTTTCGCAACTAATATAAAAATTAACCTCTTGTTTAACAGCTACAAGAGGAAAAACCGGAGGTGAGTACATCCTAAAACTATATCTGACAACAAAAAGTGTTTCAGCTTGCCAGCAAAATTTTGCAAACTTCGACCCCTGAAGTAAGTATGAAACTAAATTTTTCTGTCTACATAGACGTTTTCAGATGGTGTCCAGAATTCTGCAGACGATAGGTTTGGAACCTGAGGTACTTTTTCAGCTTTCGTCGTTTCATCTAAAGTAACAATTGTTTCAGCTAGTTTCACAAATCATACAGACAATATCGTTCGAATCGCTCAAACCTAGTGTATGTTTCAGTTGCTGTAGAAAGTACAAACTGATGAAATTTGTTTCAGCTCTATTCTGGTGAAGCACAAACAACCCCACCACCCAGCGTAATCATCCCTCCTTGTTTGAAATCTTGTAACATTTTTCTTTTAGATGACTTCAGTTGAAGTCCAGACTTCACAAACCACACAATCAGAAAGTGTAACGGAAGAATCAAAGGAAGAATCTGTTTCAGCGGAAGAACCACCACAAAAAATGTGTGTGTGTTGCAAGTGTACTTTCCCCGAGAGTGAAAGCGTCTCCAGCCTAGACGAACCTCCAAGTCAGCCTGAAACCAAAGTCTGGATATGCTCCAAGTGCTACTCCTTGAACAAACCCGGAACCTGTTGCTCCAAACCCAAACCCCCTCCTCCAGAGTGCCTTAAAGCTAACTCTGAAGCTCCAACCAAATTAAAGTTGTGTCGGTGCTACGAATGCTCCGCTCCTGTGCTTTATCGCATCGACAAGACCCAACAAGAGTGTTTATGTAAGATCGTGCGTGTTTTGATGCTGTTTATTTTTTCGTTTCGTAGGTAGTAAACCCAAAGTTAAATGTAAATGTCGCGGCGACAGACGTGAGTATTTGTAGTGGAAAAATATTTCCTCTAATGTTGTAATTTAGGGAAAAGCAGCGGCAGTCACATCGCTTTTGCGAAAGGAGACACTTGTATATTTTATGAATGCGTTTTCGTGTATTTTAAACGTTTGTTATTTTAGGCTCTTTGGTGGAAACAAGTTGCTGCTGCGAGACTCACAAGTGCTAATAATTTCATGAGGAGCTCATTGTGCTAAGTTTATCACGACTTTTAACCCGCATTGCTGATATTGCTAAACTGTAACGAAATTAAGTGTTTACGAAAAATAAAGTGTTGGATTTTTGGCAAGCACGCGTTAGAAAATTTAAATTCGCTCCCACTTCTCGATGTTCAAAGAAAGGTTATCCGTTTCGGCTGTTTTAGCACGTTGTAATAAAATACAAAGCCGGTTTAATACCTTTTCAAATCCGCCCACAGGAAAAATCGCAATTAGAGAATATATTATTCAGTTCACTGTAATCGGGAGTATGAAAGGTGTGCATGAATGAATTCTGCCCTTGAGCCGTCTCTGAATGTTTTAACAGAATTTAAAGCGACTAAATAGCCACAAAAAGTCAAGACCGCATGAAAGATATTTCTTAAAAATAAACTAAGGGGTCAGAAAGAACATCCTTTAAGTCGAGACTACCCTGGAAACAACCAAAGAATGTTAAATTTATGGCCGCTTACACTTTTCCTAATATAAAATGTGGGTCTTGAATGTATTCATTCAAATGCTTTGAATACGTCTAAAACGGTAAGAGACGTCAGACTTTCGAGAAAATAACTTGACAAAAGCCGACCTTCGACATGTTCACAATGGATAATGGCTCCAATTGATAATAAGTTATTTATTGCAGTCTCTAATTTTACACCGTTTTCCTGCAAGCGTCAACAGGAAAATAAATTTAAGTGAAATTTGTGGTTATTTTTGTATTTTATACAATTCTGAAAGAAGAAAAATTTGCCTGTATATTTATGTGTGTTTTAAATTTTATGAAATAACGTACCCCTACGTGTAGTTTATGAATCCGTATTGAGTTTTTACTCAGACATCTAGATGTTTAAAAAAATATATTAAAACTATATGACATAATTTTGTGGTTTCTAGATTAATTTTGCGCCAGTTGTCGAAAAAACCAAATTTTGAGTTTGACTGTCCATAACGCCCGAATCGACAACGATCGCGTATTTGGGTTTTCATAATTCGATTTATTCAAGTCTTCTAAGCATTTGGGTGAACTTTCAAGTCGGTGTCCATGTCTGTCTAGAAACCATGCACATATTTATAGAACGGTGTCATTTTCCGAACACTCGGAAGGAGGTTCGAATTAAGGAAACGAGCAATTTTCAGACAAAGCGGGATTTATTTAAGCGAAATAGCTTCATTTGGACTAAATCCAAAAATTTTGGCCATACAGAAAAATTTGGTCAAAAAATTAGCATTTTTCGATTTGCTTGAAATTCGATTTCCAGACAAATTTTGTCCCGCTAAATCCACTTCTGGCATCAGTTGTTGAAAATTTTCAACATTTAAAAAAAAATCCTTCTTTAATCCATTCTCAAAACCCAAATTTGAGTTTGACTGTCCATAACTCGTGAACTGACAAAGACAGCGCATTTGGGTTTCCACCACTCCATTTCTTTAAGTTTTATAATCATCTGAATCAACTTTGAACTTGATGTCCAACTCAGTTTAGAATCTACAAATACACTTATCGGACGGTGTCATTTTCCAAAGACTCGAATTAAAAAAAATAAAAAAAATTCGGCGGTGTTCTGCAATTTTTATAACAACGAAATTCTTGTTCAAGAGCTTCGAATTAGGAGCAAATTTCGGACAAATCGGTGTCCGTTTAAATGAGATAGCTTGAAATCCGAAAATAATGTTGCCCCGTAAATGCAAAATCCATATTTCCTTGCAAAATTTTCCATTTAACCATGATTTAAGTTTCTTGTGAAAAGATGGCTACGCATATTAAGAAAAAGGAATCAAAATATAAGCCCCGCCCACCCACCCTCTCTCGATTCTGATGATTTTGTTATTCGTCGTGAGCCAAGAGGGCGGAGCTCAACTGCAAATTCCTTATTTCTCTACATAGTTTTCGATATCTTGATCACTTTTATTGATTCTGTATCATGATTTCAAAATTTCTAGCTAATCTAAAAATTTTGATTACTTAGACATCTCCTTTAATTCCCTATATCTTGTTAAGTAAAAATCTATAATTATTAAATATCTACAAATTGTTTATGTAAATAATAGATAAATAATTAAATCTCAAGTACTCAAAATACGTCATAGGTTTTAGTTTTTTGCAAGTTTTGTCAATTTTAGAACTAGCTGAATGTAAAAGTTAAAAAAAGGAACATTTGAGGTAGGATTTTGAAATTTTTTACTGTTTCAGAACTGTTGCAGAAAAGTCAGTCTTACCGATATTTAGGTAATTTTCACATTTGAGCCAGTTTTATCTATCTTGGTTCAGAATTTGGTGAGTTGTTAGAAAGTTCGCAATTTTTAAACGTTTAGTGTTCTTTTTTAATTCTTTTGATCTTTTTACTTGCAAACTCAAAATTATGCTGGAATTCCTTCCTATAGATAATTTTTCGCCTGTTCAAGATATATTCATATTTTTGTCTTCTTGGAAGAAATTCAAAGCAAAACAACGTCGATTTTTTTTTCTTTTTATTCTAGAAGATCATATATTATAAAAGAACAAATCATCAGAATCGAGATAGGGCGGGTGGGCGGGCTTATTTTTTGCCTTTTTGTTTTAATATGTGTAAAGTTCTTTTCAAAACATTATACTTAAAACATGTTTGAAATAAAAAAATTGTATCAGGAAATATCGATTTTGCCATTATGCTCTGCCCCATAATTACAAAATCCATATTTCCTTTCAAAAATGTACCATTTAACCATGATTTAAGTTTCTTGCGAAAAGATGGCTACGAATGTTACGAAAAAAGAGGCAAAATATAAGCCCCGCCCACCCACCCTGTCTCAATTCTGATGATTTTTTTATTCGTCGTGAGCCAAGAGGGCGGAGCGAACTGCAAATTCCTTATTTCTCTACATAGTTTTCGATATCTTGATCAATTTTATTGATTTTGTGTCATAATTTCAAAATTTCTAGCTAATCTAAAAATTTTGAAAACTTAGACATCTCCTTTAATTCCCTGTATCTTGTTAAGTAAAAATCTATAATTATTAAAGATCTACAAATTTTTTATATTAATAAAATAGATAAATAATTAAATCTCAAGTATTCAAAATACGTCATAAGTTTTAGTTTTTTGCAAGTTTTGTCAATTTTAGAACTAGCTGAATGTAAAAGTTAAAAAAAGGAACATTTGAGGTAGGATTTTGAAAATTTTTATTGTTTGTAAACTGTTGCAGAAAAGTCAGTCTTACCGATATTTAGGTAATTTTCACATTTGAGCCAGTTTTATCTATCTTGGTTCAAAATTTGATGAGTTGTTAGAAAGTTTGCAATTTTTAAACGTTTAGCGTTCTTTTTTAATTCTTTTGATCTTTTTACTTGCAAATTCAAAATTTTGCTGGAATTCCTTCCTATAGATAATTTTTCACCTGTTGAAGATCTATTCATATTTTTGTCTTCTTGGAAGAAGTTCAAAGCAAAACAACGTCCAATTTTTTTCCTTTTTATTCTAGAAGATCTTATATTATATAAGAATAAATCATAAGAATCGAGATAGGGCGGGTGGGCGGGCTTACTTTTTGCCTTTTTGTTTTAATAAGTGTAAACTTCTTTTCACAACACTAAACTTAAAACATGTTTGAAATAAAAAAATTGTATCAGGAAATATCGATTTTGCCATTAGGCTCTGTCCCATAATTGCAAAATCCATATGTACTTGCAAAAATGTACCATTTTAACCATGATTTAGGTTTCTTGTGAAAAGATGGCTACGCATGTTAAGAAAAAAGAGGCAAAATATAAGCCCCGCCCACCCACCCTGTCTCAATACTGATTATTATTAGAGGGCGGAGCGATATCTTGATGAATTTTATTGATTTTGTATCATAATTTCAAAATTCCTAGCTAATCTAAAAATTTTAAAAACTTAGACATCTCCTTTAATTCCTTGCATCTTGTTAAGTAAAATTCTATAATTATTATTAAAGATCTACAATTTTTTTATATTAATAATAGATAAATAATTAAATCTCAAGTACTCATTTTCCAATCAGTCCGAAATTCGGTTTCTAGACTAATTTTGACCCATTTAACCAGTTTCTGGCATCAATTGTTGAAAATTGTCACTATTTTAGGCGAAATTCTCCTCCAAACCCATACTCAAAACCCAAATTTTGACTTTGACGGTCCATAACTCCTGAACGAACAAAGATCGCGTATTTGGGTTTTTACCATTCGATTTCGTCAAGTTTTCTAGATATTTGGGTGAACTTTCAACTCGGTGTCGTCAGTTGCTGAAAACTTTTACAATTTTAAACAAAATTTTGCGTTAACCCTAAACTCAAAAACCAAATTTTGAATTTCCACAACTTTTGGACGGACAAATATCACATATTTGGGTTTGCACCAATCGATTTCTTCAAGTCTTATAGCCATCAGGGTGAACTTTCAACTTGGTGTATAGCTGTATTTACAGTCTATGCAGAAATTTATCGGACAGTCATTTTCTGAAGACTCGAACTATATAAATAAAAAAAAAACTCGAGCGGCCATCTGGAATTTTTTTAAAACGAAATTTTGGTTCAGGAAGTTTGAATCAGAGAACAGAGCAATTTTGAGGCAAATCCAGACCCGTCTAAACGACATAAATTTAATTTGGTCTAAATCCAAAAAAATTGCCATTGAGGAAAAATTTTGTCGAAAATTAACTTCTTCCAATTTGCCTGAAATTTGGTTTCTAGACTAATTTTGACGCGTTAAGTCCGTTCCTGGCATTAGCTGTTGAACATTTTTACCGTTTTAAACGAGACCTTTCTTTAACCCAAAACTCAAAAACCAAATTTTGAGTTCACAGGTTCATAACTTTTGAACGGAGAAATATCGCTTGTTGGGGTTTTCGCCAGTCGATTTCTTCAAGTCGTCTAGGTATATGACTGAACTTTCAACTCAGTGCATAGCTGTGTTCAGAATCTACAAGCAGATACATCGGGCGGTGTAATTTTTCGTAGACTCGAATATGAAAAAATTAAAAAAAAATCAGGCTCTCTTCAGCAATTTTTTTGACAACAAACTCTTGTTGAAGAGGTTCCAATTAGGGAAGGGAGCAATTTTCAGACAAAACGGAGTTTGTTTAAGCGAGATAGCTTCATTGCGATAAATTCAAAAATTTTGGCCATAGAGTTACTTCAGAAAAATTAGGTTAACAAATAAGCATTTTTCGTCGGCTTGAAATTCCGTTTCTAGACAAATTTTGTCCCGCTAAATCCACTTCTGGCATCAGTTGTTGAAAATTATCACCATTTTAAACAAGATCCTTCTTTAATCCATTCTCAAAACCCAAATTTTGAGTTTGACTGTCCATAACTAGTAAACTGACAAAGACAGCGTATTTGGGTTTCCACCACTCGATTTCTTTGAGTTTTATAATCATCTGAATGAACTTTGAACTTGGTGTCCATCTCAGTTTAGAATCTACGAATACATTTATCGGACGGTGTCATTTTCCAAAAACTCGAATTAAAAAAAATAAAAAAAAATCCGGCGGTGCTCTGCAATTTTTATAACAACGAAATTCTTGTTCAAAAACTTTGAATTAGGGAAGGGAGCAATTTTCGGACAAATCGGTGTGCGTTTAAATGAGATAGATTGATTTGATCTAAATCCGAAAATAATGTTGCCCCATAATTTCAAAATCCATATTTCCTTGCAAAATTTTCCATTTAACCATGATTTAAGTTTCTTGTGAAAAGATGGCTACGCATATTAAGAAAAACGAGTCAAAATATAAGCCCCGCCCACCCACCCTGTCTCGATTCTGATGATTTTTTTTATTCGTCGTCAGCCAAGAGGGTGGAGCTCAACTGCAAATTCCTCATTTCTCTACATAGTTTTCGATATCTTGATCAGTTTTATTGATTTTGTATCATATTTTCAAAATTTCTAGCTAATTTAAAAATTTTTATTACTTAGATATCTCCTTTAATTCCCTCTATCTTGTTAAGTAAAAATTTATAATTATTAAAGATCTACAAATTGTTTGTGTAAATAATAGATAAATAATTAAATCTCAAGTACTCAAAATACGTCATAGTTTTTAGTTTTTGCAAGTTTTGGCAATTTTAGAACTTGCAGAATGTAAAAGTTAAAAAAAGAAACATTTGAGGTACGATTTTGAAAATTTTTGTTGTTTGTAAACTGTTGCATAAAGTCAGTCTTACCGATATTTAGGTAATTTTCACATTTGAGCCAGTTTTATCTATCTTGGTTCAGAATTTGATGAGTTGTTAGAAAGTTCGCAATTTTTAAACGTTTAGTATTCTTTTTTAATTCTTTTGATCTTTTTACTTGTAAATTCAAAAATATGCTGAAATTCCTTCCTACGGATAATTTTTCACCTGTTCAAGATCTATTCATATTTGATCTTAGAAGAAGTTCAAAGCAAAACAACGTCGATTTTTTTTCCTTTTTATTCTAGAAAATCTTATATTATAAAAGAATAAATCATCAGAATCGAGATAGGGCGGGTGGGCGGGCTTACTTTTTGCCTTTTTGTTTTAATATGTGTCAACTACTTTTCACAACATTAAACTTAAAACATGTTTGAAATAAAAAATTTGTATCAGGAAATATCGATTTTGCCATTAGGCTCTGCCCCATAATTGTAAAATCCGTATTTCCTTGCAAAAATGTACCATTTAACCATGATTTAAGTTTCTTGTGAAAAGATGGCTACGCATATTAAGAAAAAAAAAAAATCAAAATATAAGCCCCGCCCACCCACCCTGTCTCGCTTCTGATGATTTTTTTTATTCGTCGTGAGCCAAGAGGGCGGAGCGAACTGCAAATTCCGTACTTGTCTACATAGTTTTCGATATCTTGATCAATTTTATTCATTTAATCTAAAAATTTTAAAAACATCTCCTTTAATACCTTGTACTTTGTTAAGTAAAAATCTGTAATTATTAAAGATCTACAAATTGGTTTCTAGACTAATTTTGCCCCGTTAAGTCCGTTCCTGGCATTAGTTGTTGAAAATTTTTACCGTTTTAAATGAAACTTTTCTTTAACCCAAAACTCAAAAACCAAATTTTCAGTTTTCAGGTCCATAACTTCTGAACGGACAAATATCGCATATTTGGGTTTGCACTAGTCGATTTCTTCAAGTTTTCTAGATAACTGGGTGAACTTTCAACTCGGGCTTCATCTCCATTTAGAATCGACGCTCATATTTATCGTAGGGTGTAATTTTTTTATTTAATTTAATTAAATTAAAAAATGACAACCCACGATAATTTTTTTATTTAATTTAATTAAATTAAAAAATGACACCCTACATGTTCTGAAGACTCGAATATTAAAAAATTAAAAAAAAATCAGAAGCCGTCCTGCATTTTTTTTAGACGATATTCTAGTTTAAGAGGTTCGAATTAGAAAAGGGAGAATTTTCAGACAATTAGGGATACGTTTGGACCAGATAGCTTGATATGACCTAAATCCGAATATTTTGGCCACAGATTGACTATAGAAAAGTTTTGTCAAAAAATAAGCATTTTTCAATTTGTTTGAAATTCGGCTTCTAGGCCAACTTTACCCCCTGAGTCCGCGTCTGGCACTACTTGTTGAAAATTTGGATTTTCACCATGCGATTTATTCAAGTTTTCAGTCTTTGAACTCGCGTTTTTAAATAACAACAAAATTGTTTTTAATAATTTAGCTACTTATGAACACCAATAAGTTAAATTAGGTATCACAAAAAAAAATTGAGCTGACTCAGCCGAATTTGTTTGTTTAACAAATTGTTATTTTTTATTTTAGACATGTAGAATTTTCAGGAAAAGGCAAAATTTATACTACCCCTCTAAAACGTCTAATTAGATATTTTAAAAATTATAAAAACTAAAAATGACAAAATCAACTGAAAAATTCATAGTTATTATTATTTAAAATTAAAAAATTTATAGCCGAATGCGGTAATTTCGTTCCAGCCGTTTCAGCCACCGTCAACGCTGTCACAATCTTTATGCGCACCTAAACTCCAAAATTACCTCCATCCATCCCCAGCCCAATAAGTATTAGAAAACTTCCCAACTTAACCCAACCCAATCCAAACCAAGCAATTAACACGCAAATCTAGCCATTAATACAAACCGAACCGCAGCCCGCCCCGTCCGCTCGCATCGCTCCAAAAACCAATTTTATCTAAATCACAATCATCTCTTTTACAGCCGAACTCAAAACAACCCCTAATAAACCCACCCCCAATCTTTCACTTCGCGCACTCTCCCCGAAAGTATCTCCGCGCCGCCGACTTGGCATCAGGCCTGCAGTTAAAATATGTAAATGAAAATTTTCACCGATTTTCCTTCGAATAAACATAACTCCGACAGCATGTTGAGTAACGCTTGCGCACCCTGGAGCCGTCTACAGCCGGAGGGATGTTCTTTTATTTCTGATTCACGGTCTGTGGAACGCGCACTCAAAACCCATCAGCGTGTCGCATCGCGAGATTTAACCTATAAACGTACGCAGCACATGACTTCGCACGGTCTGGCAAAATTTTTCGTTGGTGATTAGTGATGTGAAGAGATGTGCAAGATGACTGTTTACCAGTGGCTGGTTTTATTCGGGCTGCTGCTTAAAGGTACAGTGGGTAGGTTTAGTTCGACGCGGAGGCGGAAGGACGAGATCGCGAGCTATGGGTGAATTTTCCTTAAAATTTTTAATATCTAATTTGTATACATTCACAGTTCATTTAATTTTATTGGTCATCATTTACAAAAAAAAAATCAAGTTGGCTGAATTGAATTATTTCCAATAAAATAATAATAATAATAATAATAATAGTAATACTAATAACAGTACCTACGTCATGGGTCACGTGTGCGCAGCGTCATAAATATTTCAGTACAAAACAAAAGATAATTGTCAATTAATTGTTTTAATTCGGTTTAAATGATATGTACTTTGGCGTATATTTTTTATTGATTAGGTATTATTTGTGTAATTTGGTGTAATTTATATTCAAATTGCAGCGTGTTGGATGAATCGTTGCTGGTTTGGATTACTAATGTGATGTATATATGCTTTTGTTGGATTAGAAATAACGACACTACCGCATACGTGCATTTCGGGCTATGTTTATCTGCAAAAATTATTTATCAATATGTATTTAAACGTGGCTTTTATATCAAATTTGATTTTAGACGACGGTTTCATTCATCAAGTGTAACAGTAAAAATTAATCCGTTTCGAATAACTCTCATTTCAATCCATTCCAACACACCGCCATAATTCGAAAATTTTCATCAAATGGCCTCGGCTCTCCGCCCCCGGACAGCTCCAAATGAAGTTATTCTCATCGAAAAATTCGTGACCATAAAGCGAGAATAGGCACGGATATAACACTTCTGTTTTTTCGAGCATGAAACAAAATTATTTAGGTCGGGCCCAGGTTAGACCACCAATTATAATCAACATTTTTAAATTGCGGCATTATCGCAGCTTCCTTTTGGCTCATTTCGACAAAATTATCGTTAAGTAGCTGAGTAAAAATTTTATTTTATTGTTAATTGGGTGCGGATTGGGAGAAGTGGCCCAATTTGCAGCCCGATACGAGAGAATTTTTGTTCGGACAAAATTTGACGTATTATTTTTTATGCGGTCTACATTTATAGAAGTCTTAGCTGCGTTTTGTGATTTTCGCGCCAAAACCAAAAAAAGTAGTCGCAGCTGCGTCTGTTGAAAATTTTCAAGCACGTCTCAAGTTGCAGGTGTTAATGCAATTCCTCGTGTATTTCCAGAGAGTACTCGAAAGTAATTTATATCTTTCCAGATGTTCACACGAGACAACGCTGGCTCTAAAAATATTGTACGCACTTCGGTACATTAATTCTTTTCACGCTCTATAAATACACACTGACTTTTGGATATAACGTTTAATAAAACGCCTTCTCGGCACTAAAACGAAACAACTTTAATGGCCTAGCCGCGATTTTCATAACGTTTATTGCGGAAAATATGGCGCGCTTTAGAGGAGGTTCTGCAGGAATTAAAGAAAAATGCGAGGAGTAAATCTATTTTAGGTGGGAAGGGAACATTATGTGCAGGTTTGACAAACAGGTGCCATAAAGGTTTTTCTGCTGCCATATTTTCAGATTAGTGCTTTGGGGCGAATTTTTCAGACCGGCGGGTTTTTAGTTAGTTGTGGATAGGTTTTCCGCAACATAGATCCTGTATTGTTTATTATTGTCTATAACGGGTTCATAAACCACTCCAAGTCTCCAATATAACTAAAAATTTTTAAAATAATCGAACTTGTGCTTAGATTGTAGTCATTTTCTTATTATTTTGCAGCTCTGAAACTTTGCTCGTTAGTCAACAATTCGCTGGATAAGTTTACAGAATTTTTTATCACAGCTCTTTAACATCGACAAGGATCAAGATTAAAGAGCTGCGAATTATTAGTTTGTAGTACAAAAATAAAACATTAAAAAGATTGATTTTGGTTTAAACAAAATAACTATTGATGTCTACGGGTCAGTAACCAACTACATTTACCTGCAGCAACCACGATAACGATTAATTAATTCCAGCCATTCGTTCTAGTGCCATTAAATTTGTAGCTGTAATTAATTTACCTACAATCCGTCTTTTATTGCTTATTTTTACAGTTTGTTTTGACTCGCTCTTACATAAATTAACGTAAACAATGTAAAAGTAGCAGGATGCAAACATATGTCCACACGATTTGGGTGGAATCACCCGTTAAGAGATTACTACAGACTTTTGTGTTTCGGGCGAAATTCATGCGAAGATATTTTCAGACGAATGCAACAGAATGCAATAGAATGTCTGCACAGACTGGTTTTATTTGTAATAAACTGTAACCTTTTCGTATATGAAGCGGCGGGGTCGATTTCTATTGACGGAGAGAATTAGTTGTAACTTAGTTGCTCTATCAGAAATGTTGCAAGCGGAAAAACACACCAGATTATTCTCTAAATTTAGCCCACGTGCTTGTTATCATCGTGGACGAGGGCAAGGTTGCCGGCACACGTTAAAAATTTACAATTCAATCAGATGAAATTTTTCCGGCGAGCTTTCCTTTAAACAAAGGATTAACAAGAAAATTTTTGTCCTTAACTATTTTCATCCTTTGTCTCTCTTCTACGCTTCGAAAGTCTACTCAAAGTAGTTTCCTTTGCCTTCCGAGTTCCCGGATTCCGAGTTGTGATCGCCGTGTTTACGATTTTGCTCTTCCGTTCCACGGTTTTTGCGAGGTTGAGAGAAATGAGATAATTCTCGGACGAGTTTTGTTAAAAGTGCAGGGGTAAAGTTCATGCTTTCTGGTGGTTATTTATTTGTTACGGGTGTTTCGGCGCTGATGAGGGATTAGTTTACCGGTGAGAGTGGTCTAGGGGCTCGCTTCGCTCGCCTGTGATAATTAAAAAGCGGATTCTACATGAAAGTTGTATATAAATGCGTTTCTGAAACAATGCTTTTATTTGAGCCCTACTTGTTTTTGCCTATTTGTTTATCATGAATGCCTTTTTTGCATTCTTTCGACCTCTTTTACTCTTTTTCTGTCTATTTTGTTGTCTAAAATCTGAACTTTCTTTTCGAGCTCTTTTCCTGAATCAATTAATTAAGGTAAAAAGTGTAAAATGTTTTAAAAATTGTTTCAAATTCATCGGAATTCTCCCTAATTCTCTAGAATCCTTTTGGATTCCTCTCGTTTCTTTAAGATTTTTCCGGAATCTCTCCTATCCTATAGGGATTTGACTTGATTCTCTTGAATTCTCCCGGATTTTTTCAGATTCTCTATGCGATTCTTTCGGAAGTCACTCGGATTCTTTCGTATCCTCGAGAATTTAGCCGGATTCTTTCGTATTCTGTGGGATTTTTTTCAGATCCTACCGTGGTCTCTCCTATCCTCCCGGAGTTTGGTCAGATTCTCTCGTATTCTCCTCTTGCAGTTTGGTTAGATTCTGTAATAATCCCTCGTATTCTTTCTGATTTTTTCTCGTTCTCCTGGATTCTTCCAAATTCGCTCGGATTGTCTATTTTTCTTTTGTATTCTTCCCGATTCTTTCCTGTTTTGTCGGAATTGTATTCTTTCGGAATCTTTGCTTAATGTTAGGTTTTTGTTGGATTCTCTCGGGCTGTCTCGCATTATACATGAATTCGTCCGGATTCTTCGGTATTCTCTCCTATTCTCTCGGACTCTTTCGTATTCTCCCGGATTATCTCCTATTCTCCCGGAATTTGCCCAGATTCTCGCGTATTATCTCGGATTATTTCGGATTTCTTTGGGATTCTTTACGTATTCTTTCTGAGATTTTCGGATTTAGACTTTTTTCGGATTATGTGGTATTCTTTTGGACTTTTTGCTGATTCTTTATGATTCTGTTGGATTCTTTTGAATTAGTTCGAATTCTCCAGGGTGCTGAACTATGATATTTGATTGTTGTTAAATACACCAACTCCTACAAATTTCTTTCGAGATCATTTTCTATGTCAATTAGTTCGTGTTGAGTTTTCGTGAAATAAATTTGAAAAGTGTAAAAAAGTTTAAAACAAATTTCGGATTCCCTCGGATTCTTTTAAATTGTGTGAAATTTTCTCTAATATTTTCGGATTCTTTTCGACTTTCATGGATTCTTTCAAATTCATCCGGATTCCCTCAAATTCTCTGCCTTCCTTCTGGAGTTTCTTAAGGTTCTCCCATATCTTCTCGTATTCTTTCGGATTCACACTGACCCTCTCGATCTCCGGAATTATTTCCGGATTCCCCCCGTTTCTTTCAGATTTTTCCGGAATTTCTCCTATCCTGTAGGGATTTGACTGGATTCTCTTGAATTCCCCCGGATTTTTTCAGATTCTCTATGCGATTCTTTCGGAAGTCATTCGGATTCTTTCGGAAGTCATTCGGATTCTTTCGTATCCTCGAGAATTTAGCCGGATCCTTTCGCATTCTGTGGGATTTTTTCAGATTCTACCGTGGTCTCTCCTATCCCCCCGGAGTTTGGTCAGAATCTCCCGTATTCTCCTCTCGCAATTTGGTTAAATTCTGTAATAGTCCCTCGTATTCTTTCTGATTCTTTCACGTCCTCCTGGATTTTTCCAAATTCTCTCGGGTTGTCTAGATTTCTTTTGCATTCTTCCAGATTCTTTCCTGTTTTGTCGGAATTGTATTATTTCGGAATCTTTGCTTATTTTTAGGATTTTGTTGGATTCCCTAGAATTGTCTTTGAATTGAATATAGCGATTTAGTTTTTGGATTCTCTCGGGCTGTCTAGCATTATACATGAATTCGTCCGGATTCTTCGGTATTATCTCCTATTCTCCCGGAATTTACCCAGATTCTCGCGTATTATCTCGGATTATTTCGGATTCTTCCAGATTTTCTACGAATTTGATTGGATTCTCTTATATTCTCTCGTATTCTTTTGGGATTCTTTACGTATTCTTTCCGAGATTTTCGGATTTAGATATTTTCAGATTATGTGGTATCCTTTTGGACTTTATGCTTATTCTTTATGATTCTGTTGGATTCTCTTGAATTAGTTTGAATTCTCCAGGGTGCTGAACTATGGTAATTTAGATTTGGATTCTTTCCGATTGTTTTCTGTCCTACAAATTTCTTTCTTG